TGTATCATACCCAAAAAAATATAGTTGACACTTCGATCATCGATCTTGGATCTCTCTTGTTGTGGAATATGAGTATATGTAATACTTCCAAAAACTCGCAAATAGTTGACATTAGCTTCATTCCACTCTATACTTCTTGGTGAGTCATGTCTTTTAAACTTGATGTTAGATATCAATTAGATAAATATATTGCACAAGGAATTGCTTCAGCCCAAAATTTCTTGGGCATATTTTTTGCTTTCAACATGTTTCTACCCATATTAAGAATAATTATATTCTTTCTCTCTATAATTTTATTTTATTGTAGTGATCTTGGAACTATTAAAGAGAGATGAATTTTATTAGATTCAAAGAAATCATGGAATTCTTTGAAAGTAAATTCATCTCCTCTATCTGTTTTTAAAGACTTTATTTCACAATCACAATTTTTTTTATAAGAACTTTGAAATTTTTAAAAGCACAAAAAATGTCTGATTTTTGCTTTAAAAAATATACTTAAATTTTTCTACTAAAATCATCAATAAATAGTAGAAAGTATTTGGTTGCTCTTGTAGTGGCTTCTTTTGGAAAACTCCTTAAATCCTTCCCAAATAGGCATGCTTCACATAATTGATTAAGATGGTTAATCAACGACATCTCTTTCACCATTTTTTCTTCTCTCATCACCTTGAGTGCACCAAGTTTAAATGGCCAAATCTCATATGCCAACACCATGCTTCATCTTCCACACTAATCTTCAAGTATCTTGCTTCAATAGTTTTGAGATTCAAGGTAAACATTCTATTTTTTGACATATGCACTTTAGCAATCAAATTAACACTTTGATCTCTAAGCCAAAGGTAATAATCTTTCACGTGAATTTCATATTCATTTTTAAGAAATTGACCCAAACTCAAAATATTACTTCTCAACTTTGACACATAGAAAATATTTGTAATAAGTGCATATCCACCATTTTTTGAAGAAATTAGAATTGTACATTTTCTTTGAATTTTAACTTTTAAAGAGTCTCCAAAAGAAATAATGCCATTAATTTTCTCATCAAGCTCCACAAATTTTTCTTTGTAGCCGCACATGTGATTGCTTACTCCATTATCAAGGTACCATGAACTATAAGTATCACTATCCCCCTCTTTATATGCTAGCAACAAAGTTATTTCTTTCTCATCTTGTTTATCATTGACAAAATAAGCTTGTTCCTCCTTTTCATTTGAAGTATTATGACATTCCTAAGCATAATGTCTATATTTGTGATAATTATAACATTCAACATTAGATATGTTAGAATTTTTATAGTTACTTTTTCCTCTTCCACAACCTCTATTTGACTGATGACTTTGTCTTCATTTTTGGCATCATCTTGAGTGTCTTTTTTTTTTTACACTTGACCACGACCACAACCATCTCCTCTACCTCTTACTCATCCTCTTTACTTTCCACCATCATTCAAATAGACCTTTGATTTGGGAATTTATTCTAAGGGCCCTTCTTGTCTTCTCTTTAATTTTCTTCATGAGCTTATAAAGATCCCTCTAATTTCTCAAAAGTCAAAGTGTTTAGTCAAATAAAACTTCAATGGCACAAATCACATAGACGAATTTTGGTGGCAAAGATCAAATAATTTTCTACACCACACGAACATCTTCCATTATTTCACCATATCTCTTCATTTGGCTTACTATAGACTTTACCCTTGAGTAAAAATCTGAAATAAACTTAATATCCTTCATTTGTAAAGCTTCAAATTTGCCTCGTAAAGTTTGGAGTTGGACCTTCTTCACCTTGTCAACTCCTTAGAGGGAATTCTTCAAAATCTCCCAAGCTTGATTTGTTTTGGTAACATTAGCCACCTTTAAAAATATAGATTCATCCAAATCTTTATGGATGAGTGCAAAGGCTTGTTGATCATTCTTCCTTATTTTTATAAAAGCATTTTTTCATTTTGAGTTCCTTCATCTTCGGGTGGAGTGAAGCCTCTTTTTACAATATCTCACACATCTTATGAGCCTAGTATGGCTTTCATGTGAAGACACTAACTCTCATAGTTTTCTTTTGTAAAACAAGAAAATTGGAAAGAAAATAAATTATTGCTAGCTGTATGTCTAGAATTTTAGAACAAGAAACCAAGCTCTAATGTTGCTTTGTTGGAGACAGGAGGAAGATATTAGAGAGACTAATAAAAAGACTCAAGTTTTTATATTGTGGTTATTATAAAAAAGCTTCAAGTACATAGCTATTTAGAGGAACTATTAAAATTAATTCTAACAATCATCAAGTATAATAAATCTAATTTATGACCTACAAGTACTAACAAATCAAGGGATATATGGATACTCTAATTTATGAAATACAACTACTACCAAACTAGTTAATTATATTCTTGATATGCAAATTAATTCTAATAGCATATACAAGTGAGAATCGATGGGAAAATGGGACCAACTCAGGCACTATCCTTGCGAGTAGAACTATGGGAATAGTTGCTAAAATGCTTCCTTGAAGGAATTTTCACATTAATTAATTTTGCATTATATATAAATATATTTGTTTGTATGTTTTTGCTCTTCATTTGCATGAAAAGTTTAATGAAGATTGCGCAATAAAGGAAATGATCTAATGGGTCGGATAGGTAAATTTACAAGTGAATTAGGAAAATGTAAAACTTGAAATTTAGTTTTCGCATGCTATAAATTTGATTTTGATTGCTATTTTGATGCATTTATATATGATGATTTGATAAATAGGGAAATTGAAAGGATTAAAACATGGTTATGGTCTAAAAATAAAACAACAAAAACAGAATAGTAATAAATGATTGTACAAAGAAAATTAAAGTAGCAATATAGGTGACTATTGACTGAATTGGGACAAACGAAAAAGTATTGATGGCAATGAGGAAAAATTAGATCTTTGAGTTATTTCAAGTAGCTTAAACTTAAACATAATTAAAGGAATTGATAAGAGGAAAAGAATATGGGTAAAGCCCAATAAGTAGAAAAATATAAAGAACTAAAAAAAAAAAGGGATCACATTATTTATGGGCAATAAGAGATATTACCAAAAGATATAAAAAGAGGCATCGTTAAAGGAAAAATAAAAAAAAATTTAGGGAAAAAGAAAATTTAGATACTTAAATACCAATAAAAATAAAATAAGTGTTAAACAACATTTGACAATAGTAGAAGTAAAAGAAAGAAAAGCACAAAAAAATAATAAATATAAATGCTAAGAAGAGCTATAAAATGAAATTTTTGGAAAGTAGTATTTAAGAATGACTTTATCTCATGATTAATAGTAATTGGAACTAACGACATGGTTGGACTAAAAATGAGTAAAAATATATTTTTGTTTTAAGAATTTAGAAAAGAGACAATGATAATAGTAATAAGAAAACTAGGTCAAATTTAAAAATTAATTGTCATTGGATAAGAATTTGAATGATTAAAATACAAAGAAAGGAGATTAAGGAAATATACAAAGGGTTTAAATAGGAGAAGGTCTAAAATATTAGAAACTAATAATCAGGGGCTGCATTGGCATTATAATGAACTCAAGGGTACATCAATTGAAAAATTTATCATGAAATCAACCTTAGAATTGTGTTAAATCAAAATAAATTAAGTAAGGGATTAAGTATAAAAGTTTGGTAAAATATCAAATGAAAGGATATCAAATAAGACGTAAGGAAAGTTATGATTAATATGAAACGAAGTAGAAAAGAAAAATAACTTAAGAGTGTAATTAAAATACTAAAATCCATTTGACTTGTGTATCAAGGAGGACATTGTGTGTGTGTGGCAAAAATTTAAGGGAATGTATGGTGAACCTTATCAATGAATTGATGATTATGCCCAATGCAAACATGGATGGCACTGTGTTATTTGTGTGGATCATCTAGCGAACATTACTATTATGGCCAATTCAATTTGTGATATATGCTCTTGTCCATGTAATAGAGATGATCCTTTGTACTCTCACTGATACCAGTAAAAAGACATTTTATGATGAACTCTCAATAAGAGCAAAAGTGCATATGTGATTAAATGTGTAAGTGAATTTGTGCTCCAATGTGTTAGCAAATTATGAATTGTGATTACATGTGTAAGTAAATGTGTGAATGTCCACATCAATTAATTTGGTATAGGGAACAGTAAACCTAAAGCAATGAAACATTTCCAAAAAATGAAATAGAAAGAAGTCCCTATGTCATAAATACTAAGATGAAGAATGAAAAAGAATCTATATCTGAGCGATAGTAATAATAATAACACTTTCGAGATACGAAATGTAAAGAAGAATTAGAAAAAAAAAATTAGCTAATAGTGCAAACAAATAATATAAAAAGTTTTTAACAAAAATAATTGTAAAGAAAATTTTATTATGAAGTTTTCAGAAGTCTAAAACTCAACATCTTATTATTAAATATATTTTTCCATTCATTTGTATAATAATTGTATTTTGTTGTCTTTGTGGATAAAATACTGTCATACTACTACTGAACAAATGAAACTCATCCAAATTCATTATAAAAACTTTTTAGATCAGAAGAATCCGGAACAAGTTTCTGACTACTGAGAAACAAGTAAAAGATCCGAACTAGAACTTAAGTAAAACTGTAACTATGGGTAATTGTTCTATTTTTGTTAATTTTTGAAATGGAAACTTAATATGCTACCGAATTTTGATACAATGAAACCACAATAGATGAATTAGTGTAATGTATAAGACTGTTGCATGTATTTAACATGTATGTATTGTCGGCATTATATGAATATTTTAAAACATTTTAGATTCGTTTCAAAATTTGAAAATTTAATATTTCAATAAAATTTCAATTTAAGTAATTGAATTTCAGTTTTAGCCAACTTTTATGGCAGTGTGCTAAAAGATCATGTTGAGAGCATTTGGAGGAACGACCTCTTCTCTGTCTCCTCTTCTTGATATAATACTTGTAAAATTAAAATTGCATGATAGTTTTAATGGTAAAAGATACCTAAACATGATAACAATCACCAAAAACTTATTATCAGATTATGGTACCAAATTGAAACGTCAAAGTGACTTCATCCCGGCATTATATTGCCTTTGAAACAAAAACTTCGATGTTCTATCATTCTTCTAAATCCGAAATTATCTTCACAAAAACATCATAGCCCTGGCACATATCAGAAAGAAGGCAGTACTCGTTCTTCGCATGATATGTTGCCATTAAACCTGCATACATACCAGAATTAGATCAGTCAATTCTGCATTTCATCTTATTAGGGATATATTCATACACTTGATAATAGGCTACTGACAAGTTGGAGTTTCTGTTTCTAGCAAAAAAAAAAAAAAAGTAAATTTTCATTTTCATTATACATGTAAGTGTGAGGGTGATGTCCATGAACTATTCAAGTAAGAATAAAAGCAACTTTTTATAAGTACTAAAACAAATTTTCATCAATTTCAAAACTAATGCCTCATTTTTAATGTTATTTTCTGAAAATTATTTTTAATTTCAAACACTGATATGCCTATTTTAACAATATATATATAAACTTAGGAAATAAAAAGAGGACATATTTATTTATCAAAACAATCCGAATTCTTGCTCTGTTTAAGGGGATTTACTTATTTTGTGAAATAAGATTTAATTGCAGAAGATATTGAAGCAGTGACATACCATAACCTGCAGTTTGAACATCAAAGCCTTCTTCCTGCAAAACGAAAATGGAATGTGATTAAACTGAACTAACAAACTTCATATATAGATATAGATATAGAGAGGGGGGGCGGGCAGGTAAAGAGAGATCACTTGTAGCTCCCGAATGAGAGGCAAACTCCCTGTTATTGAGTAAGGTTTCACATGGCCGACTGCCTCTTCAGTTGCTTTACACAGAACATGAAACCCACGAGAGTCGAGATTACAAGCAACTCCAGACATTGCCTCCTCAAAAATTATTGTAAGGCTGTAGAAAAATTCCAATGTAAACACTTTAAGACATCCCTGGAAGTTTGGATAAGCAGCATGCACAACTAAGGTAGTTTCTTTAATATGTAAAATTTGGCAACTACAACTCAAATATCTGATGATTGAGGGAGAGAGAACCTTCCCCTCAGATTTTCATCAGGTAGTGTATATCTTGAGACCGGGCCCCGTGTATCAAGCTGATGTATGTTCTCATTTATGTCATCAACGTATTCCTGCAGCTTCTGCATCACATCCTTTACACTACAAGGAAAAAAGAAATTGAACGGAAAAAGAAAGAGAACAGGAAAAAGCTTGAGTTTTTCATAAAGATAAAAACATGAACCAGAACATAATTTAAAACATCAGGTTCAGAATTGATGACAATGGATAGGATGCTAGAGGCTTACTTGTAGAAAGGAGTTAACGTGCAACCAAAAGGAAGGCAAAAGGCAGAAAAAAATCATTATTTTGAGAAATCATTTATCTCAGTTTTCTCTATAAATATATTTTAAAAGAACTATAAACCTGACATCTCCTGATATTGTGCACTCAGCAGGAATTTGATTGATTCCACCGCCTGGATCTACAAAAATGGAGGATAACTTTTAAAAGTAGAAGAGATTTTCTTTGTATCCTAACTTGTTAGTAATATGCTCATTTCTTACAACTCCACTGAGTTGGTTTCATGGTTGATGGAGTTGCAAATCCATAAACCTCCTCCTTTGGATGTGGTGGGAAGTCCTTATAAAATCGAGATTGGATTTCTTTAAGTGCTTCCATTGCTAGCTCCAAAGAATTTATAGCCTGCAAAATTTTTTAGGAAGAAAAAAAACAAAAAGAAATTCTTAAAGTTAGTAATTTCACAAAAAATTGTCTATGCACTCAGTTCTCATTTTAAAAGCCACGCATCATTTTCATCAACTGTCTTCACGCAATCATTTTTGGTATAACTACCTTGAATTTCTACCATCCCATTGAATTCTTAGCTAATTCCTAGTTTTACTCTCGTATTAATCTTAATATGCATAATTAGAATATGATACATCATACCACCTTGAATCCCACCATCTCATTCAATTCGTAGTTCTAATTCTTAACAAATTTGTTATTCCCACTTTGAATTCCTTACTGATGGAAATTTTATCCTCACCTTTGAAGGTGGAAGTTGAATTTCAACCGTAAGGTAGGATGTACTAACATAAACCAAAAAATAATATTTTATGCATGCATACTAAACCTAATATGAGAATTTAAACTTAGAACTGAATGGGAAATGAACCAAATGAATAATTAAAGAAATAGTTCAAATATAAATGAACTGAACTCACAAGTGAGCATTGTTATTATCTTACACTAATATTCCTGGAAAGCTATGCATATTTGTTAAAAAAAAAAATTAGGTTCTGTTGATGAACATATCTTCTGCTACATAAAATTGTATTATACAAATTTCAGTACCTAAATCAGTATACCATAGACATTGTCCTTCAAGCACCTACCACTTGCTTGGATTTTAATACCGTATAAAATTATTTCTCCGTGTTTCCAATCCAACCATCTTTTCCTCTAAATTGACACTTCTGGACTTTGTAATCAGAGACAAAAACCAATTCTTCTCCAATGTATATGTATTTCTACAGCAGGAGCAGTAGCAGTAGTAGATTATTTACTTCTGAAGGCAAATAGAAAAATACACACAAAAATGATACTGCCGATATCATGATATTACCTTGTGAGCTAAACCACTATGAAAAAGTTTCCCAGTCACGTGAAGTTTCCAAGGAATCATGCCGCCAGTACCAATGCATGGTTGTTTATCAGCTGTGTCAATCCAGAAACTGCAATGGCAAACGAATCATTCTATAGATTAAAAGAAAGTTGATTACTGTCAGAGATGCCTCATATACATCAATATATACTCCAAGTACTTACAGAGGACCCTCTTTAAGCTTATCAAGGAGTCCATCTTTCACAAGCGCATCCACACCAACCCCAGTTATGGCAGAATTCTCCTCATTCGCTATGAAAACTGCAACAACAGAGGATTTTAATTGAGGTTTTTTCTCACCTAAAGTCCTCATAAGCTCAGTTACAAGAGCAACATGCCCCAAACAGTCAGTGGTTCCCCGGCCACGAAGTTTATCGCCATCAATACTCAGTGAAAATGGATCAAATTCCTGCAGGTACGGTCAAATTGTTATGAAATATAACGCGTAGCATGTAATACACATCTCAGTCTCCTCATAAGCCATGATTCTTGCAATCTGAAATTACAGATGAATCAAAATTCACTAAGCAGACAAGAAACTTGACCGAGTGAAACTGAATTATTCTTATGGAAGTTCCAATTTGACATTAGATTAACAAATACTTCGAATTCGAACAAGGAATAATTAATGGAGAACTGCTGATTGAACAAAATAAATGAAATAAAATGACGAAAACAAAAGAATGCGGAAAAAACGAAAGAGAAAAACACATAAAACTAGACAGAGAGAAGAAAGAGACCCAATCATTAGGATTAGCAGTGACAACATCCATGTGCATGCCAACGAACGACAAGATCTTGTCGGGAACGGTGCCGGGATACTCGACGATCAGATTTCCTCTGCAAGGAAAGTAACTGACATGGTTGACAACGAGGGGTCCTCCGCCAGTGGTGGTGCTGTACGGAAGGAGGGAATCCAGTACATGCTTGACCACCCTGTCCTCCTCTGGAATCAACTCGGGTGGATTGTTTTGCACGTACTTTGATTCTCCGATTAACTTAGTCAGAAGGCAGAGGAATGATTCCTTGTTAAGAAAGCCTAGGGTTTCTCTGAGCGCGTTGCAGGATGGCATGACTTCAGTGATGAACTGCGTGATACGCAATACAGGGAGGTTTATGTGTTGGAAATGGAGGAAAATATTTCACAAATCAAAAGGCATAGTAGGTTTTAAAAATAAAAACTGAAAATAATTTTTAAAAATTTAAGTGTAAATTCTTAATAAAAAATTAAAATAAATTTTTTAAAAACTAAAAAATATAACTTTAGTGTTTGAATATATTAAAAAACATATGTTCATATTAAATTTTATGAAAAATGTTTTAATTATCACAAAAATATTTTAAAAACATATATGTATTAAATTACTTTGATTAAAAATAGCTATAATGTAATAAATTTATAATTTAGTTTAAATATAAATTTTATTTGAAGATAAAAAAATATTTTTAATATTTAAATAATTTTCTAAACATATCTTTGAACTTTAATGTGTCAAAATTGCATTTGGTAAACTATGTAAGTTGCAACATTTACAATTATTATGATATCCATTGTTATTAAAATTTTATGATTCACAATTTATATTTTATATCAATTTAATTAATTAATTAAATTATTCAGAATCTTATAAATGAATCACAGTTTATCATAAATTTTTAATAAATTTTAAGAATTGATAATAAATCACATGATCTCGATGAATTTTGTCATTGATGTTCATATAATTAAAACTAAATTTTAACAAACATTTAGATTAACTATAAGATAGAATATATACATACAATTTTACCTTGAGAACAAATACTTTTTTAGTTATCTATAATATTATTATTTTTTAATTCACGATTTCATTGCTTTAAATATATACACTGAATTTTAGTTAACAAACTATATTCTAAAATTGTTTTCTATTCAATTTAGATTTTTAATTAAAACAATATATATTCTCAACAGTTTACAGTGGTATTTCATCCGCAAGTAATATGATTTTCGTGCACTTTTTAAGGCATGTTTGGAACAGCAAATTATTTTTGTAAAAATTTCAAAATTCATTCTTTTGCTCAAAATGACAATTTTACTTGCAGAAAAAAATAAAATTGAACTCAAAGAAAATTGCATATAAAAACTAAAAACAATAAATTTATCTGCCATATTAATCTCTTGTAGTTGAATATCCATCCTGTGATAGTTTTCTTTTTTTTCTGATACATTTAGTTGGAGTACAAGTCGATGTCTTCACAACAAAAACATCGTATTATCTGATCTACAAACTCTTAGTATCTACTCTATTATGTCTAAACCAAGTATATATTACTAAATCATTTTTTTGCGAAGAAAACACTGCCTTTCAGTATCCTAAGTCTATTAAAGTCTCTAAACTGTATTCTCAGATATAATACAAATTTCCTGGCATTATGAGGTATTGAACTTTTATGAGTGGAGTTTTTTTCCTTCCAACTTAAGCTGCTGGATTCTTTGACGTAGTCGTCTCCGATGATCATGAATCTTCCATAGACCATGCCCCAGTATAACAGCAGAGTAAATGGCATGGGTGATAATTGGTGCCAGAATGTTATTAGTCTGCCAGTCAACAATATAAAGGTTTTTCAGCTTTTATTTCTTAAATTCATTAATTTTATACATATGTTTATTCTAAGAACATGAATAATAGTATGCATTTGCGGAAAGGTTGAGGAATAAACACTTTTTACCATCATTTTCTAAATCTTACATGTATATGTAAATTATGCATGTAGCACACAAGCAATAATCTTATCGAAATAAACAGAATGAGCAAATATCAAGAGTTACCTGGATCCACTCAAAACCAAGGTAGAGAGCTAAAAGTCCTTCTAGCAATGGAGAGTAAATCTTTCTCATTTGTCTTTTCTCATACCAGGCTGCAAGACACAACATCCGCTCAGAAATATCAAATTTAAACCTTTCCATCCCAAGGAGGTCTTTCATCCAGTTTTAAGTACTTACTTATTTTACTAGTTTTCTTATTGCAAAATCCATAATAGTATAATTGTCAAGAACAGAGATTGATTATCAAAACTATAACTGGCAAAAAAATAATCACTCTTGCTCAACCTGAGTGAGAAATTAAAGAACATAGTGATATTGATATGCATGTGCCAATGCCGCGAGTCAAGAAAACTAAGCTATATTCGAGACAAATTAAATATTTGTGTGAATAATCATTTAGCAATTCATTCTTAATTCAATTATCATAGGAATGAATTTCCATTTGAAGAGGATAAGTGATTTTGAGAGAATTTAAATGTAGAGCTTTAATTTCACTCCCGGTTCTTTTTGAGTTTTATATTATCTTGTGGAATTAGATTTCCAGCTAACTATGATTTTTTGATCGAATTTCAACAAAAAAGATTCATTTGTTCCAAAAATAGCATAGCTTTCACAAAATTATACGCTAAATCTAAAAACTATAAGATTAGGAAAGAGGTGGAACCTGCAAATAGCTTTTTCAGATCTTCACGGCCGGAGCGAGATTGCAGAACCGGTGCAACAACATAAGTTGGGTCTGGAATAATGTAGCATGGCAATACCAAATTAAACTTGTGGACTGAATATTAACAAGCCAAGAAAAAGAAATGCTAGAGATCAACCTTTTGGTGAGGCAGCCATGTAATAGAGAGAACCTGTAAGAGCAGCAGTTATAACAGCAGCAAATGCCTGAGCAAATGGCACAAAAGGTGGGAACAGTCCTGTCTGCACTTTGAAAATTAGTAAATGGTTAACCAAAATATAATCTGAAGAAAAACTCAATTATATAAGTCAAATAAAAATGAAAAAGCATTTAAAAAAAAGTAGGAACATAGACTGTAGTTATACCAGAGATGCCATTCCTTTGGTATCTGTAACCAAATCAGTGCCCCTAAGAAATACATCAGCCAAAGCTCCCTATAAAGTCATTAAAAGTACATAAGGATCCATGAATTTGTGCACTGAAAAACAAATAGTACATTAATAGAACTCGGTGTGCATTTCCAAAACAGAAAAAACACACATGAGCCTCCTTTAATTAAAGTTAAAACACTAGTATATCTAACAAAAAGTTCTAGGACCAGGTACCTTTCAAAAGTTATAATTCACTAAATTGGTGAAAATCTAACAAGCTAATAAAAAAATGTTATGATAACTAGCTACCTTTTGGAAAGTTATGTTTCTCCATGGAAATAAACTTGAGAGTTTAGATTAACAAACAAAAGCTTTGAAATATATTTTGTACTACCTTTTGTGTTTCCTCAAATAAAGTTGACTTGATTTTTTAGAAAATATGAAATATCATGATTTATTTCATGCATCAACTTAACTTTCTTGCTCCATCCATTTATAAATGAAATAAAATTTTCATTACCTATTTATTTAAAACAAAAGCCTTAAAGCACCAAGCGCAAAGATGAATCCACAACTAGCTGTGAAAACAGACCTGAACAGCCACGCGGTAGAAAAGCTCCTCACCAACTGAGCTTGCAGCAACAATTAGGATAAACTGAAAATGTTACTTGAATTAATATGAGGACTTTTTTTTAACTGAAATGGAAACTAGTCAAAGAGCAAATACAACAAATCACATAGACCTTGAGAGCTCTTTTAATTGCCAATAAGAGTGAATTTGGTTTTCTCAAATAAAAAAAAAATTGAAATTGGTCGGATTGATTTTTTAGATATGATAAAAGAAACTGAACAAAACAGTATAACCGAATCAACTCAAAAACTAACAAACATTATAAAGCAATTTGGTTCAATTTGATTCAATGTGAATTTTAACAAAAATTATTTTCGATATACTTATATTAACTGTTAACAAAATAAAGTATAAATAATGTTATTTATAAAAACTAGCATTAGTATATAAGCATACGAAGTTTGGACTTTATACAATGATTTCCAATCTGGTTTTCGTTTCAGAATTTTTAGAAACCAAACCAAAATGAAACTACCAGATTCTTTTTTGTTCAGAAACCAAACTGATTTTTTTCTGTTTAATCCGGAGTCAAAAAAGTTAATTAGTTCAGTAAATTATCAATGTGAATTGAATAAGATCACCACCTGCCATGGTGACATTCCATAGAAGAAGCTTCGAAGTTCCTCATCCTCCACATCTCTGATGGCTCGAGCATGAGGCGACAACTTCACTACTTCGTCCTGAAACATTTCGAGTCACTTAGAGTAAGTTCCTAAATCAGCTGACAATATGACACTACACGAGTTACTTAGAGTAAAGTTCCTAATCAGCTGGCAATATTACACTACACGGTTAGACCATACTCTTAACTTCCCTCCTCTTTTATTCCATGGAAATCTCAAGCACCAATAATAGCCAGAAGAAACAAATAAAATTCAGGAATTTAATTTGGAGAACGTTTAGTAGGAAGATGATTTAAACAAGAAATTTTCAATTTCAGAATTCAACAATCAGAAATTTAGAGTTCGAATATGGTCAAAAGCGTTATGCTTTACATGTGAATGACTTGTGAGAAGGAGACCTAATTTTAGAAACACCCGATTGGATAAAATGTGAAATTAAATCAAAATTAAGAACACACGTACGTCTAGGATAAAAAGAAGGGCCATAATTGGAGGAGCGGCATATCCAAGTCCTTGTAAAACAGCATCTAAGGACGGATTAAAACCTCCCATACAATCAATCCCAGTGAAGGAACATATCAACCTTCCTGCTACAGCCATCCCACCGTAAATACCTGTTTATCACCCAAATCGCATATATTATATGGCCAATTATTTAAGTCAATACGTATCTACCAAAATCACATGTTTTTCCATTTATGGATATTAATCAACATAGATAAGTATATAAGGAATGAGTCTCACAGGAGAAAAGTAGACAAAAAGTTTGGTTGATCAGCGCAGAAAAGGAAATAACAAATTGCTCGTTAAAGAATTAAAAGACATTTCAGCACTTACTATTATCCAAACAGGAAATTCAAATAGCCACCAACCAAACAATCAACCATCATCATTCTTCCAAATTTTTGAAACCCGAATATGTATATATATATATATATATATATAAAAGAGTATCCTCCACAAAAAGAAAAATCTATAAGAGGTCGTAGTAAAATAAGTAAAGGAGAATGTAGTGGTAGAATAAAATGGAAACCATACCGATTCCGTAGCTAAGTCTAACAACGGCGCCAATTTTCTCCCAAAAGGCGAAGTCAGAAGCGTCATCACTGAAGCTGCGATCGGATGTGGTAACATCCATGGCAGGTCCTCCTACGAAGCTCTCCCTCGCCTCGATTCCTTCGCTGCTGCGCCCAGCGGACGCCTTAACGCACCGTTTATGCACTCTCCCTACTCTGTTGAAGCGAATACCCCTCCTCATCTTCCTCGCCGGAAAATTAACTGTCCTAGTACCATAACAAGGACAGCAATAAAATTCTCGGCAACTGCAAAATGAAGTGATAGAATCATGACGGTTTGACATGGTAGATATCAGCGGCAGCTCCATTTTCTCTCCGTATAGTATTAGTACTGGCGGCTCAGTCCGAAATATCGGAATCCTGCAAGCGTTCAGACAGAGTCGTCTCGACGATGGTCTTCATTCTGGCGAAGGAAAAATATTGACCGTACGTTTTCCAATTTCAAAATTTTTTCTTTTTTGAGGATGCTGCGGGTTGAAGTGGATTTTATTGGTGGTTGAATTGATGAATGATTGGAGATAAGAAAAGAAAATGGAGGAAAATCCAGTTGGCGAATAGAAGGAGGACATATGGAGGAGGGTGTTATTAGAATGTTCCTTTTAAATAAGAACTGTTTACTATTTATATATATATATATATATCCATATTTTTTAGATTGATGTAAATATAAATATTATATATAATTTAAATTGGGTGAAAATATTTAAATTAATTTTTATTTTTATTTTTTATTTTTACATTTTTTAGTTTCTGAACTTATATAAAAAAAAATTAATTTATTCTTTAATTATTAATACAAATAGTTAAATAAATTTTCATTAACTTAATTTTTAATATGACAAAAAATTAATGGGCAACTTCCCCCGAGTCTCCTTCCTCTTCCTCTCATCACTCACAAGCTTCCATTGGGATTTGACCTTGTATATACATGTATATATGTATATATTTATTTACATCTGGAGATTTTGGTATTCCCATATGGAATCAGTTTCCTTCAATACAAACAGAAAATTTAGTAGACATTTTTTTTTTCAGAAGTAACTTAATAAAAAAATTACAGTTTAAATTCCTGCAAGATTTCAAAGATGGACACCAGAGACTTTCATACTAGCATTATCAAGCAACTACAACAGCTAGACTTCATTGCCCTAATTAAGTGTAAGTTCAGAGTTTAAGTTAAAGAGGATTATGGGAAGTTGCCCATTGCAAATTCTCTATTTCAGCAGAAGTAGATAATATTTTTTATTTAACTAATTCATTGATTTTCAATGTTTTAAAATAAACACATAATATTAATTCTATAATTATTAACAACAATTTTAGATTATACTTATTTTTAAAATTAAATATTAATTATCTAGAATAAGCATTATATTAAACAAAATAAATAAAATAAGATAATTATTTTAATAAAAATATTTTCTAAAAATCACTTAAATAATTATAGTAATTATTTTTTTATTATCATTTTAATATTCATTATTTTATAACATAATATTACATTCTACGTTGAAAAAAATTTTAACAAAACATTTTTGTCCACCAACCTTTGCTAACAAAATCCATAAATATTACACTTTTGTCCACCGGACTTATTGTGATGAATCAAAATCAGGGGTATAAGATGACCGAATTTTACATACATTTTCACAGTTTAAACAACTCCTTTCTCAGATGAACTACAAAACAAGAGTAACATTTAATACATATATACAATGTAAAGTTCTACTTCTCTACTTCGAGCTATTAAGTCAGGTTTGTTCAGACTATAAAATTTGCCTCCACTGGTCTGAGTCCATTACCTTCGAACTCCATGAATCAAGAACGACTTGCGTCTCGATTCCCTATTAGCAGATGTCATGATGTTTGCTTGCAGCCACATGTGCAATTCCCAAGTTCTTTATGGAGTTTCTGCAAGGAGAAGAGTATAAGATAAAAGATTGAGGATAGACATGAAAAGACCACCTAGTGGAGAACCTGGAAGTATATATATTTATATATACACACACACACACAAAGAACTTATAGTCTAATGTTAAAATGCTGGTACGAACAACTAGCGTAAACTCAAGTTTACAGTACCAGTATTCAAAAAAGTAATCGATTTAACAAAGATTAACATTGACCTGCAGTCAAATAGTGGGGACTTTCATGGTGTAAACAGAATAGTAATTTACAGAAACAGTAGAAAAACAAAAAGGCCAAAAATAATTTCTTCTCTGCCAAGTAGAACACAAAAATACACTTTAGTTTCTGACGTGAGTTCTTAACCATAACCTGGATAATCTTCGCATGGTTCTCGAATATATTATGGGAAGTTAGAATGACAAAGGGACCGCAAAAATTCTGGGTGTAATTGCAAGTTAAATAGTAAAAAGAAGTATCATTGATGGTAGAAATAAGAGATGCTAGGGATATATACGTACATATATATTTGTAGATATATATTATATATAATGGCCTCACAAATGTATTCCATCTAGATTTTAATGTGGATGTGAATCATATAAGTGGACTATGTACTACATCGAGACATTATCCAATGTGATTCAGTCATTTAAATGTCATACCATGGGGAAATAAAAGAAAAACAGATAACCAACTAAATTGTTTTGGTATACTTCAGGGATGCTTCAGGTGCCACGAAATACTGGTTCAAGCATCATATTTTACGCACCTGCACTTGATTTTGAAGGCCTTTGATGTGTTGCACTGCCAAGTCCAGCATATCTGCGTAGCTTGTTTGCTAAAAGAATAATATAGAAACGTTATTACATTAGTCATGTTACCTTAGACTTGGCTAGAACTTCACAGTATATATCCCATAGAAATCTAGGTATCCTTGGTCACCTAATTAACACATTAAACTACAACCAAGAGTCAAGGGTTCTATACCCAATTATAATAAAAGCTGTGCCTTAATACAAATAAAAAAAACACACACACACATTAAACTACAACTTTCAGCAGTCATTCCCTAACAAAGTTTCCTCACTTGGAAAGCAAATCTATTCAATAGGAAAGGCCAAATGCACTTAACCTTTCTCATTTTACTCAATTGGGCGCTCATTTTTTCAGTTTGACTAATTTGGTGCCTAAGATTTATGTTTGGGTTTATTTAGTGCTTAAGATTTATGACTGCATTTAATTGTTCCTCGGTCAATTAAAAATATTGAATCTAATGGCGCATGGCATGCCATGTCATTTACAAACCAAGTCAATACCATAAAAATATATAAAACAACACAAAATAAATGAAAATATGAAAAATATAGTAAGATTAGAAAACAAGTAGAAATTACTGCCTTCTTCCTTGTCTCCTTCATCACTCTGTGTTTTGTCTCAGCAGAAAATTCCGAGTTATGAAGGCAACAAGGGCAGCAGTTGTTAACTTTGTTTGGTCTTTTGTCCTATGATACTTTCCATTTCTTTCATTAGTTTTGTATTCTGTATATATATAGCTATTGATACAATAATGTATTTTTTGTAAATAATGTTGTATGCTAAGAAGTACTAGATTTAATATCCTTATCTAACAAAAATATTCAATTAAAGTGCAACCATAAATATTGGACGATCCAATTAAACACAATCAAAAGCATCAGCTACCTAATTGCTCAAAATAAAAGGTTAGAGAAATAATTTAACAAAATGAGAAAGGTCATTTTTTTTTTTGTCAAAATCAAAGTTTTGACACCTAATTAAATGCATAAAATATAAAAAGTTAAAAAACTTTTAAGTGCGTTTATCCAATATAAGTTATGTTCAAAACTTATTATGGGACAACCAGAAAGATTCCTGCTAAACACAGACAAAGTAAACATACTATTCTCACATTCCCATTCAAAGGCAATTTCTAGGAACTTAGTGTATCCTATTTTTACCTTATCCATGTTCGGAACAAGTTCTTGTAGCTTCTTCAGTTTCCCACTAATTCTGGTTCTTCTCTCCTGCATGGATGCACATGAATAAGAATTTTAAGACAGCATAACTGCACATAACAGTTCAAAACCGTTTAAAATTTTCTCGACAAGCAGAACATGACTAACTTGTGAACCAAGGAAAGCAGCCTAATCCAGTGGTAGCAATTATGTAGAAAGCGAGATAAGTACTGGTGTTTCAGTATTTATCACAACTTGCGCCCTTAACAAAATGTGCAATTTTAATGCAATTGGGCTCATACTGAAGCACCCCCGGTAATTCAAAAAAATAGAAATTATATTATAAATATTAAATGCGGAAGCGAGATCAAAATTTCAGTTAACATCCCCTTACACGAAAACCAAAAACGTACTTAAAGTATAAAAGATTAAACTAACTAAGAGAGAAACTCGAAAATAAAACTATGA